ATTTAGGTTTACTTACTGGTAGAAATCAAAATACCATCGCTGCTGTTTGTATTCATTATGCATCTGAAATTTCTCATTGTGGGATCCCTATTGCCAAAGTTTCTGAATGGCTATTGGTTCTATCAAATCTGTTTACCGTTTGCTTCATGCTAAACGAGAAAGCTTTCAAGATATAATTGATAATAGAGAAAGGGTCGTGTCGTAAACTTTAACCTAGTACGACGGATCGAAATTGCCGTAAGTTTTAGACGTTATTTTTTTTTTAAAAAAAAAAAATAATTATCTTTTATATATTCCTACCTCATTTTTATAAAATAAAGGATTAACATCATTTTGGATTGAAAGAAATCCTTTCCCCTAGAAGATTGTTTGCAAAATATTTTTTTCAAAATTATATATTTTTGCATATTTTATAGCTTTTATTTTTCTATATATTATTTATATCAAAAAATTCTTGCATAACTATAATTGTTAAATTTCATACGTCACATCGAGTCTCGCGTGATTGTATTCTCACACAAAAAGCGCACTTAAACGTTGCAATATTAAATTTTACGAAAGGTTGGTTTCTTCCTTGTAACAAAACGATATATGTCGTTTTTCACAAAGTCCGTGAAAAATCGTTCGCTCAATCTTATTCAACTACCAAATTTTCATCTCGCAAATTTGTTAATTCTGCCATTCAAAATAAAACCAATAGTGGGTCACTTCCAGTTTTGGAATTCGTGGACCATATTATAGTCCGATGGGTAAAGCTCAAGGAATTGGGGATCAAAAGGGTTAATCGATAAATACAGTAAATACATGAAAAAATGTAAAGATTTTGGGTAAGCCGGGGGTCAATTGTTCTTAATAATAATAAGTTCATTGAATTATTTATTCTTTTTGTTGGTATATAAGGAATTGCAGAAACTACCGAGCATTATAAATAATCAAGTGTACTATCAAACTCATTTCAAATTCATTTATTCAAGCGTAACAATAAATTGAAAGAACATGAATTAAAGCGAAACAAAAAATTTAAAGAAAATGATTGCAGGTTATTATTTCTTAAAAGCAAATAAAAACATTGACATACCAATCTTTATATACAGAAAATAATTTTGGCAAAAGATTTAATTCAAAAATAAATATTGTAAGAAATTATTATATACAATATTAAAGGATAAATAAAAAAAATTAATGCCGATAATTAAATTTTAAACGAAACAAAATTATAAAAAAAATTACCTTAAAAAAAAAGTATATCAAAAAAAAAAAAAAAAATTTTTTTTGGAATTTTATTGACATTTCAATGTTGTCGTGGACCATAACTCACTAACAACCCATCAGCTATGAGAAAAAGGACAGTCTAAAAAATAATTATAAAATTATTATTTATTTTTCGCAAAAAAAGATTTTTTTTTTTTTTTTTTGACAAGGAAAGGGTACATACAGCTGATTTATTTTTTTTTTTAAAGAAATTTATTTGACTACATGATGAATGAATGAATCCATAAGCAATTTAAGAGGGCTTTTATAATTGAATTTTGGTATACAAAATGACTGATCACTTGACTTGTACCCAAGCAAGAAACAATAACAATATTTCATCTCTTCTTTGTTTGTCTAGATAATTTACTATATACAGTATGATAAGATAATATCAGAATTCATTTCACTCTACAAATTGTCTAATCGTTAATTTTTGTCTTTGTTTCCCTATATGGTAGTCTCATTTCATTCAAAGATTTACTATTTCAACTAGTATAAAATTGCAGTGTCCAAGCACAATATGCATTTTAACAAATGAAAGTAGAATGATTATATTATATAAAAGAATGAATGAATGAATCGTACAAAAAATCAAAAATTTTTGTTATTGTTTACCTTTTATGGTAGTTACATTTTAGAAAAGATTTGTTCATCACATTATTGATTTTGGCTAAAGTTCCATAATGCCTATAAGGTGCCGTAGATCATTAATACGGTATCACAAAAACTATTCTAAATTTAATAATCTTTACGATTCATTATGTGATAAATTTATTACCTTTTTATAACGCGTTTGTATTTATTAATACTTTTATTTATATTATAAAGAATCTTTCACTTGAAAGAAAAATGTTCTAAATTTAAACCAAAAAAAATCTAATGAAATGTAAGTCACGTGATCAATTTTTTAAAATCGCAATTTCACTTCAAAACTTTCGTTCAAAAATAATATAATCACGTAAACAGACTTATTAGATTTTATTACAAATTCTACCGACACCAATGTCGAATTATAGGACAAATTGTAATCTAACTTCATACTAGATAAAGTTAATTGATAATAACGAATAATAATAATTATGTCAATATGTCAGTGTTACAGTATATATAAATAATGAAAATCAATTTAAAGATAACATGCTAAATGTAATTCTAGGAATATCTAATAAATTTAAGGAAATATCGAGTAAAGATGAAATTAAAAAAGTGTTAATCTACTCTGCGTTTTCGAATTATTTTTATTATTTTTTAAAGATTCCCAACAATTTAGTCTGTAATATGCAAGAGTCTATTTCATCCTATGAACACTTGTTGCCAAAAGGTTCACAAGAATTTCCGAACAGGCTTACCCACCAAGATCTTTGGTTGCTCAACAAGCCCAGAACAAACAAAAGTAATGCCACTATAACACCACAAGTGAAAAAAAAAGCATGAAGAAATCCATTACCATTTGCGCTTTTTTCACCTCTCACATGGCTTAAAAGTGCCAAGAAACTGTTTAATGACCATATGGAACACCGAAAGATATTTACTGCACACCCATATGAAATTGGAGGTATGAAGTAGGCTATGAGCACCGATATCCAAGGAACTCCAATCGAAAAAAGAGCAGTGATCGCGACGCGGGCAAATTGGTTAGACTTATTGATATGATCGAGCTTTTTTACAATTATTTTTTGTTCTCCTAATATATTTCTAGGATCACTAACTATTATATTACTTCGAACCTTTCTCCTATAGATTGCTGGTATTGTCCAGGATAATGCCATAGGTATGTATGGCCAATCCTCACAGGCGGACGGTCCTGCCATCCTGGTTAGTCCTGCAAATATTCCAACTAGTATATAGTATAACGATACCAACGACGACATCCTTTCCATTACGGATGCCTTGGCGACACATAGATTCATGAGTTCCACTTGGTCTATTTTCATAGCGTGAACTCCGACAGGTCTGTATGGGATACCCTCCCGCTATTCGTCAATACGTACACAATTCTGTCTTATCGCTCTTTATACTGCAGGTGTAAAGTAACCCCGTAAATGGACAACCAAGACATCGAGCTAAACATATTCACTTGTCGATAAATTCCTCCCATGGCGCAGCCCTATCGTAGCTATGGCCGGTAAGCAACCCAAGACATATTGAGGTACAGGTTCTTGTGATTTACCTATGAATTTTAGCACATGCGATTTTTCTGCTTCCATTTCAAAGGTATCAAATTCTTGAATTAATTGGAATATTGATTAAGATGTTTTGTGCAATTTTATATCAAATTTCTTTCACATATGTCATGTTTTGTTAAACAAGATGGACTTAATTATTTTTAATTTTAATATATCTTTGTCTTAATTAAAAGTAATATAAACAAGAGAAATCTTTTACCAATCAATCAAAGAAAATAAAGAATAATTCTTTAGATCATGGTCCGGAAATGACTAAATTAGTAAATAAGTGACATAAATGTTCGCACCAATTTCTTTTATATTTGTGAGCCAATTAAGGGAACCCATTCAAGAAATGTCAATATCGGAAATTCCACTAGTCCATCCTTTAGCAAATATTGTCGAGACATTTAGTGCATTGAATTCAGATTCTATCAGGACTTGATCTCCATCGTTATGGCTATTAACATCCATTTTTTTTTTTAAAAAAAAAAATATATTCTTTACTTGTTTTTGGTTAATATTTGCTTCTAATTTACTTATTTTTTTCTTGTAAAGCTAGATTAGTTATTTTTTTTATAAAAGCACATAAAGGGCGTAAATAAAATCATTCCACCGCTGCGCGAAAAAAACCAAGATATTGATCTGCAATGCCAATATATTTTTTTTACGTTAAATTTTTGTATCAATTACTAACTTAAAATTTCTAATTATACAGTTATTATAGCTGAATAGAATGAGTCGTTACAGGATTTATATACTTTGCATCATTCGTCTCATTCGTCAATGCAATCGACATTTGACGAATACTAATCGATCAAAAATGGATTAAAAAATACGGTTTCCTGCATTTTATTAAAAAAACAACAGAAAGGAGGAAACACTCTGATTAAAATGATTTTTTCAAATAAAATATTTCAGGTTTTATTATTAACTCAATATTTTTTTCGGCAAACCTATTTTGCATTTTAGGGAATTGTTCCAATAAAATTCGAAAAATTGGGCAAGTTGCGCAAGAATGACTCGTATCAAAAATATCACAAATTACTGCATTTTAACTGGAATTTATTTTGCGCACATGTAACTGAAAAAATTCTCTGTCCAGAATACTTAGTAAAAATGAGAGTGACGTCTGTTAGAGACCCTGCATAAGTCCAAATTTTGAAGCCGGGCTCGGACTTTACAGCTAAATTCTAAAGTCACGGGACACTTGTCGGGGGACACTCGGCAATTGTATTTCCTTTATAGAAATGATTTACATAATAAATATATCTGGTATCTCAAAATTTTAAAGTTTAGTATATGCAGTAAGCGCATGAAAAAGATTTTTAATTGTGCTACTTCTTTTCTTTCAGAGAAATTTTTTTTTTTAGTTTGATAAAAAAGGCTCGTTTTGAATAATATTAATTTTTTATATATATTGTGTAACTGAAAATTGTAATTAAGAAGGAGATATCAAAACTAAAGAGTATTTCGAGTGGGTTTTTATAATTAAATGTTTAAGAATACAATTTCAGATTTAACCTGTATTTTACTTGATCACCTGTTAAATCTTTGATGAATCTACAAAAACTTTACCCAAAATTGATTATAATTATAATTATAAAGTTGAAAAATTCACGTACAATTTTCAAAAAATTTTTATGAAAACTTAAATGGATATAGTTTGAGAAAGTTTGTAATGAAAGTTTGGTGTTACAGATCATATTATTTACTTTCGTAACTCGATTTTAATAGTAAACGTCCCAAATGTAATTACTTCTCTTAATATAAATGCGAGGTAAGATATGGGCAAGAATTCCAAATAAATGTCCAATGCTTTAAAATCATGGAAGCAGAGAACACACGGATCTCTTTATTCATGATACGATAATGGGAAGCCAAAATAAATTTGCACACACACGGAAGCATTGATATTTGATTTATCTATAATTTAAGAAGCATATGTTGAAATGTAATCTTTTTTATAAACAACGAAAAAGTAAAGCGCAATTTGTTTCACTAAACGGCGTCGTGTTCAGAATCCAAAGTAGAAAAACTTTTTACAGAATTAGCTAATTTTGAGCAATTTAATAAGTTTGCATAATATTCGGTATATATACTGTAGTTATAAAATATATTTATTTCTATTCTGGTAGGTTCCGAATTGATTTTCATGAATTTTATTTTTAAACAATCAAAAAAAATAAAATCCCTTTGGCATTTGTGTCTTTTGCAAAAGAGGCACACAACGTTTATTAAATATTTTCATGAATACCAAGAAAACCAAAAGGGTCCGACTGTAGGTATTCTGAAGTGGTTTGCTCAAATCACGAAACAAAATGTTGGTTTTTTTTTCTTATTTTTTTTTTTTTTTTTTTGAAAATCACATCGTCGTACACTATACATTGGATCCAAATAATGAACCTTATAAGATTTAATGCAGAAATTCGGAGTTTTGGTCATTATTTCCCTATATTTAGGTAATGAATTTTTATAAAAAAAAAAAAAAAAAAAAAATGTCATGCCCATATTCTTAAAATCAAAAGGATTTTTATTTTAAATTAATTATATTATTAGCTCGGTACTTGTGAATTATTTATTATTCGTTGTTGGCTTGGTATCTGTAAACTTAAACGATAAACTTTTAATTCAATCCGTTGAATTAAATACAAGACAATATC